ATAGATTAAAAATAAATTTACCTTGTTCTCCATTAATATTCCCCTAACCACCCTTGTGCATCTATCATGATCTCTCCGCCATCTCTCCTCCGACTTAAGATAATTATTTTTAAGTACAACATACTTTACTTTGGCCAGGAATTATAATTATATAATGCATTATATGTTTTCTAGTATGATAGCTCTAAATTGCCTCTATATATATCTATCTATATCTATCTCTCTCTCTATATATATATATATATATATATTACTGTTCTCTATCTCCTTTCTTCAGTCTAAATGCTTCATGGTCATACCTTTCACTTTATAATTTTTATCTCTTTGTACCTTCCACAGGGCCTATTATCAAGCTTTTCTCCCATAGTGGTTCCTTAGTCAATATTTGCTGATTGATTGATTGATTGATTGATAGGTTACTGAAAATTTCCATGTATTTCATAGACAGTGTGGCTTGTACACATTACTAGATATTCAATAAATGTCGGTTTGTTGTCCCAGTGCAAACTGTTTAATCAATATTGTAGAAAGAATAATAAATCTACTGACTGCAATTGACAAAAGACACGCTCCTGAATATTCAAGAAGAGTTTCTGAAGCAATTGAGTACTTTTTAGGTTAAAGAGAGGTAGATGTCTCCATATCTTTCCCCTGTTCTAAATTACAACATACTCTGTCCTTGTCTCTATAGTTATTTCTGCTTCACTGCTCAGAGTAGAGATTCTTCCCCTTGGAGTCTCTGGGTTTTTATGAAGTCCATGAATGGGTTTCAGCAAGATGTACTTGGAACCCAGTAAAATGTCATGTGTGAAGAAAGCCAGGCAGTTATGAAACAAGTACAAAGCACGAGTTTAAACCCAAGCTTATCTAACTGTGAAGTCCTCGTTTTCCCAATTATATGATGGTTGAAGGGATTTCTCTGCAGAAAACACCCTGGACTACGAAAGGATGTGTTCTGTTTATTGGACTGGTGTGTCCAAAGAATGGCTTGTAACAATATCCACCGCAAGAAGGGCAGCCCCAGGGGCAACAACACTGTGTACTGTTTGGGGTGTGTCTGTCGCAGCTCTGAATGTCTTATGTGTTAACCTTTCCTAAAGCTCACCACAGACCTATGAAGTGGGTACTATGATGGTTATCCTCCTTTCATGGATTAAAAACCTGAGGCATAGAGAGGTGAAGTGACTTATGAAAGGCACAAGAACACTGACCGCCGCAGAGATGGGTGAGGAGAGTGAGGCCACGTGGGAAAGGAAGACCTGGCCAAGGTAATAGTTTTCTACTACTGCAATTCGCGTCAAACCATCCTACAGTTTCAGCTGCCCCGAATTCCACCCTAGCATTCCTTCTTGGCTAAAGCAGAAAGTCTGGGGAGGGTGAAGACAGAGCCAACCCCCGACCTGGCTTTGAAGAGTCAGCTAAGAATAAACCAGTCACATCAGGTTTCTGAAGATAATCACTTGCTTCCAGACCTCTTAGAAAATATAAGGGTGTCAGAAGGAGAACATTCTAGGGTCTGGCATTCTTCACCTCCTTACTATGCTGGTACAATTTAAATCACTTGTATTTGATGTCTGGGAGAAAGAGTGATGACCCTTGAAATGAACTTGGACAGCAGGCAGAACAGAACATAGTTACCCTGTTAACCAGCGAGCTGTCAGTGGGAATCACAGTGTGAGTGCTTTAAACAGCAGAGGTGGTATGTGCTCTGAATTTGAATATTTCAAATATCTATACAGCAGCCAAATTTCTGTGAACCCAACCCCCACACATTCCAAACCAAGATAAGTGTCGGTAATCTCTGCACAAAACCTGCTTCTAGCCTCAGAATTGTTCCTTGACCATTAGATTGCAAGAGACCTGGATTCTGATGACAGCCTCATGGCTTCTTGGTGACTTAATGGCATATGACTTTGTGGTGACTTCGTTTCTTCTATCTAAAAGCAAGTGTGCTGCCCTGGCCAGTTTGGCTTAGGGGCTGAGCGTCGGCCTGAGGACCAGAGAGTCCTGGGTTCGGTTCCCGCTAGGGGCACGTACCACAATAAATAAATAAATAAATAAATAAATAAATAAATAAATAAATAAATAAATAAATAAAAGCATGATAATACATGTAACTTAGTATCTGATTACAGGTACAGATTTGAAATGAAATTATGTTTGATAAAATCCTCGGGATATTGGAGGTGAGGTACTCATTAAAATGTTAGACATGGAAATACCCGTTCTTGCACAACTATGAAGTTCAATAAGAACTATAACTTGGTCATGGTTTTTAAAATTGTCTGCAAAGACATGTTACCCAAGAATTTTGATTGTGAAATAGTTAAATTTCTGTGTCTTCTGAGTTTGATCTTTCTTTCTTTCTTTTTTTTATTTTTGTCCTCACTGAGGACAGATTTGCATTTATCTTCAGATAGAGCGGGAGGGACAGGGGGGAAGAGAGAGAGAGAAACATCAACATGAGAGAGACACATTGAGTGGCTGCCACCCAACCGGAGCCAGGGACAAACTGCAACTGAGGCACGTGCCCTTTGAGGGAACCACACCCGAGACCCTCTGGTCCATGGGCCAACACTCTAATCACTGATCCAAACCGGCCAGGGCTGAGTTTGATCTTTCTGAAAATGTAGTATAGTGTTGGAAAAGGAGAAGACCTGAGTATTTGTTTCTGTTGTGCTTCTTACCAGCTAGGTGAGCTTGGGCAGATCACTGGAGTTCAGTTTTCTCATCTGTAAAATGGAAGTAGTAAATATAATTTCTCGACTGGCTGGTGTGGCTCAATGGATGAGCATTGACCCGTGCATCAAGAGGTCACCAGTTGGATTCCCAGTCAGGGCACATGCCCAGGTTGTGGGCCCGATCCCCAGTGGGGGGCATGCAGGAGGCGGCCAATCAAAGTTCTCTCTCATCGATGCTTCTATCTCCCTTTCCTCTCCCTTCCTCTCTCTCTAAAATCAATTAAGGAAAAAAAACTTAAAAAAAAATATATATATATATACAATTTCTCTTGCTCATTTAAAAAGGGCTCAGTTTCCTGGGGCTGTGCTTTGAGTTAACACGCGTTACGTATATGGCCACATCCATCTTCACTCCAGCATCATGCAGGAGGTCGTCATTTCCGCCTGCTTCCCAGATTTGAGAACTGAGATTCAGAGTGGTTAAGTAAGTTGTCTGACTCCACACAGATTACTGTCAGAGGGAAGGACCCAGCTGTGAACCCTAACCAAAATGGTTCTGCTTCATAAAAGTGAGATGGTCCACATATCATGTCTTCTCCTTTTGTCCCAATTCGACTTTTTCTTTAATACCCTTATCCCTCTTTTTCCTCTTTCCCTCCTTCCCTCCCTCCCTCCTTCCTTCTCTCTCTCTTTCTCTCATCAATAGTTATGGCTGTTATTCATCAGATATACTTTAGTAGGATTGGATTTTGATGAGAAACAAATCAGGGCTGGGCAAAATAACAATCATGGTATGGTCCATAACCCATGATATCAGTGTCTTTAGGGAGTCGTTCAAGTGTTTCTTGAAGATGTACTGTCCACCATTATCCTGGGTGCAGGGGCTTCTACAAATATGGACATGATGCATCGTCTCCCTCAGGGTAAGACATGCACATAAATAGCTATAATATCAAGAAGAAGTGACTATAGGTCTTAAGAAAGAGACAAATGCCAGAGAATGTCAGAGGAAAAAATCCCCATAAGTAGATCATTTGCACCAATGTCCAGGGACAATAATATTGTGATGCTTTTCTAAAGCATCAAAATAACTGGGTTTGTGGTTATTAAATGTCAAGGAAAAGAGGAGCGGGGTAAGGTGTTAAAATGAAGGATGCGGGGCTTGGGAAATAAGGTAACATACAATTTGATAACACCCTTTCCCCTCCAGTTCCTCACTCAAGAATTTAATTCCTTGCAGTTTCATCAAGGCAAAAGAGTATTTGCTGTGGAATTGTATCCTTAGAGGGCTAGAGGAGGGTAAAGGCGGGTGGAGAAGGAGGGGGATCCTCTCAGGTTTCACACATGTTGATTTCAAGTTTCCACCTGGTAATAGCCTGGGGGCCAGAACAAAAAGATACAAGTCAAAACAGAGAGACACAGAGAAGGACTACCAGCATCCAGCAAGGGAATTACAAAAACTCCAAAAAGTCCTCCAGTAGCTGCATAAATGACTTTCTTTGTGCTTGCACTGTCCTTTTGCTATTTACTGAAATTTGGAAAGAGACATAGACCCGATTGCCTCTTCACAGGTCTACATGTATAAAATCATAGCCTATGAAAAGAAAAGTTTTCCTATACAGGCTAAATTAAATTGTGACCAACTTCCATTATCGGTGTGTTTTATTAAAGAAAAACAAAACAGAACAAAAAACTGGCGGACAACAAGAAAGATTTGAAACTGTGGGCAATGAAAGTAATAAATGACATGTTTTTTATATAAAACCATGGCTTTCATCCAGGGCACTTTAGAAACACATTCAAAACATACAGAAAAGCTCCACAACACAGAGCTCGGATTTGCACAAACAGCCCCAGCAAGTAAGACTCCGAATGAGTGTTTTCACATACGGCGACTCATTTATTTTCACAGACCACATTTAAAATAACTACAAGATTCATTTCATTCCATCTGCTGGACTTACACATCCTCAAAGCAAGAAAAACTGTCGTTTCAAGCGTATAAGACATGTTCCTTATTAAAAAGACTAGAAAGGGTGGATAGTGGGGCTGGGGTGGGGGTGGGGAAACAAACCCTTTAGTTACAATGTTTTAGGCAAAGGAATCGACACAATAAAACTAATTTCAAGTCAAGTTCCTCCACTATATAACATAAAGCAGTTTAGAATCTTAAGCAGATGTAAAAAGGAATAAAGCAAATGGGGAGGAAAAAAAAGGCCAATAAAGTTTCTGGCTACAATACAAGAGACATATCATTACCATATGATCTAATGTGGGTGTCAGCCGGGTAGTGTTCATTGAGGGAAACCTTATTTTTTATCTGGGCTATGGAGTAGAAGCAGGAGCTTTTCAACCTAGTGACAGACACAGAACAGCACCTACCCCCTCCTCCTTCCCACACCTGCAAACTCTTTTGCTTGGGCCGAATATTTAGTGTAATTACATCTCAGCTTTGAGGGCTCCTGTGGCAAATCCCCGGATTAAAAGGTATGGTTTTCAATAATTGTCCTGAACTCTGCTACAGGCTAATAAACTTTGATCAAGTTGAGAGAAATAGAGATTATTTGGTGAGAAAAAGAAAGGAAAAGTAATTGTGCTAAACTTTTAATGATCTTTATGCAGCATTTAAAAAAAGTATTGATTGAAAACAGAAGTTAAATATTTGGTTAAGTGATTAAATGCATTGTTTTAGTTCTTTCTCTCTGTTCTTGCAAAAAAAAAAAAAAAAAAAGATGTGTATTAAAAATCTATAACCTAACACCATGACTATTTATATTTATATATTTGTATTTGTACTAATGAAATGTTTAGCTCTTTAGAATGTATTTATAGAAAAGTATTTATTCTCGACAAGCATATTATTAATAGTTGCATTATATATATTTAAGGACTTATTTCCCTCCCGAATTCTTGTATTTTTTAAGAACTTTTAAAACCTAAGAGAAGTGAACTCTGGTCATTAGTTGTAGAAGTCTAGTGTACATTTCTACAACCTAGAAAAGAATATAAATGATCACCAGAGGTGAAAATAAACATTGAAAGCACTGATGCTGATTATTAAAGACCTAACTAAAACATTATCACATTTAGCCACATAATTTCTTAAACGTAAAGAAGAGACCCTGTCTGTATTTTCAGTGTAGATGAAATTTTATTACAGGATACATTCACTATGAAATGAGGGTGCAGGTTATTTTTTATTCTAATTGCAAAACAGGGTAAGATGATGACCTCTTGTTAAGTGGGCTTTTGGTGATGTAAATACCTGTGGTTTTTTCCTTCTAATTGCTGTTTTGACCAGAAAAGAACAAATGCCTCCTATAGTAGCCCTTATTTATGGATAAGTGTGGTTTTATTGTTTATTTTTTAATTATTTCTATTTTACTGAGGCTTTTAATTCACCTAGTGCTGGGGGGGGTTTAATTTTGCTCTGAGTTTATAGCTTCACTTATCTCCTGGGGTTAAATTTTGACTTTGAAAGTCACTCCAAAGGCATAAATGACATCATACAAATGTTGATCTGAATGATATAGTTAATTTAATGGGCTGAAGTAGTTTAAGGAACCAGAGATTACTTTTGATAAAATACTTATAAATTACGGCAATGAGCTTCAGTGAAGTACTGACATTATTCTTAGCAGTTAACATTTAGGAAAGAGGCATACATTTGACAGTACTAATTAAAACAGTTTAATGAAACTTAAAAAGTCTATCATCTCAATAATAGTCTGCCTGATTTCTACATGGCTAACTATTGCATTTGTTTATTTTTCTGATTTCTTAAGGAAAGGAGGAAACAAAAATTATTAGTACCAACTGCCCATATTAATTGTTTTAAGATGCTGAGTGTTCAAGTACCATGGCCCTAATTTAAAAGAAGTTAGTTCATGGAGGAATTTGTATCAAGTTCTGGACATGGTAGTATTATTCCCCAGGACAGTCAGGGTTAAAATGCACGTGTGCACACATACCACACACACACACACACACACACACACACACACAATGCTTATAGCTGCCTGTTTGCATTCAGCTTCAACCAAAAAGAATTTTGTGCAGAGAATTTGCACCATTTTAACAAGAGTAAATAAATATAAATGATAATATTTCCTTGAGCGTTAGAAATGCTGAACATTTCCTTTTGTGACTGAGTGAAACAACCAGGCACTTTCTGTTCTGGAGAAAAGATCAAAAAGTGATCTTTAATTCTTGTTGCTATTTATTCATTCTAGTTGCTATTTATTAAATCTGCGATTACTTTGCTTCATTTTTCTTCTAAAATTTTGAGACATTAAATATGCAAGGCTAGCAAACTTGTGGTAAACCATAAACTTTGCATTTTAATGTGAAACAGACAGAAAACCCTTTTCTTAGATCCGATCCAAGGGAACACTGCCAAAACAATAGGGTCTCCGTTAAAGCGCAAGGTAGTAACTGAGTAGAAATGGGCTCCTAGGAGAAACCTGATACTGAACTTAAAGGGGCAGTGTGAATCATTAATCTTGGAAATACTTTTAAATGAAAATCCACAAGCTCATATTGTATATGTGCTGCCTTCGACATACTTCAATAATAAATATAAACTAAGACACAAAAGTATAAAAAATTGAAAATCTAGGCATAAATTTACCGAAGATACATAGGGTTAGGGCATACAAAACTTTTTTTTTCCCATATGCTACAATTAGATAATAACTCCAAACAATTATTTAATTCTAGTTATAAATGTGAGCTTTAATTTGGATTCTTATACCTGCACAATTCAAAGTAGAGATGATGGGACTAAAGATAACATATGTTTTGGGAATACTTAGAACAGTTTCAGTGTTTTCTTTTTTTAAATATATCAACTCAAAAATAGACTTCTTGCTTTCTGCATGATCAATGAATTTCTGTTATTCACATTTTTTTATTTAATTAGTCAATTTTATTTAGTTCACTTAAACCAACTAAACAACCAATTCAATAACATAGATGTATGTATATATCTATAATTGCTTAATGAATGAATGGGTAATTAGTGTATGGATTTATCAGAACTGTACTTTTTGTTTGTTTACAAAATAGCCCTATAGGTAAAACCAACTAATATATAAGTCATATAAAAATCAGTTAGGATTTTCTATACGTATTTAATGGTTCATTTGAAATGATCCTTTTGAGAAACTATCCAATAGAATTATTTTTAAACGTGAACCTTGCTTATGCCAAGTTGAGATTTTCAATTTGATAGCTTTCTTGTACTAGAAATTTGATATTAAAAAAAGGAGATTTTGTGTTTAAAAAAATCAGACTGACTGGTTGCCGAGCACAAACTGAATAACTGGTATTAATAAATCGATGGTCAATTGAGTCATTTATGTGCAAAATATTGTGCAAGGCCGGGTACAAAACAAAAATAATAAGACACGCCCTGAAGGAGCACATCTTCTATTGGGGGGTTGGGGGGGCAGACCAAGCACGCAAAACAAATTACAATATAATGTGATAAATTCTTTAAAAGAGTTTAAGAGCTCCATGCTTTGGAGCAGAGAAGAGGGAGAAAGCAGCATCCTGCCTGGATGAGCCAGGGGAAAACACAGGGGAAGCCTGTTGTCTCATTTAATCTTTACTACATTCTTACAAGGTAGGTATTTTCAAGGGCAATTAGCTTTGAGGGTCAGGGTTGAGGTGGGGACTGGGTGTGAAGAGAAAATGCAGAGAAATCTGGCTAGAATATCAGTTGGTACCAAATTATGAATAGTCTTAAATGCACCACAGGGATTCTTTCTCTCTCTCATCCTCCCTTTCAATAAGGAAAAAAAAAAAAAAAAAATCAATCAATAATTAAATGCACCACAGGGGATGTAGACCTTATTGGCAAGCTATGGAGGTCAGCATAGGGTTTCCAGTAGAAGAGTAATTCAAGATGACCTGGGCAGCACAGTGGAAGATGGCCTGGTGCAGAGGGAATATTAAGGCAGATACCAGTTCTTACTATAGTTTCAGGAGATGAGAAAATCTTAGAGCAAGATCAATACGGTAGGATGGAGAGATAAGACTGGCTTTCAGAGGTATTTCTGATCTCTCAGTTGTATAGACAAAACTTTCTTTAACTGAGGTGTGGCTTATGCTGAGTGAGCACTGCCGATTTCAATGTGATTTATCCATAACGATTTTGTAAATGATGTGATGTGAATCTGTAACATGTTGTCTTCATTCAGACCCCAAATTCAAACCCAGCAGATTTTAATAGCATTCACGTTTTTCTTCATAAGCAAGTAGCTATGAAAATGAGTCTATACTTTACCTTATCACCTAAGTCCATTTCTAATGCTCTGCTTCCTAACAATATATTAAATATATATTTTGTTTACTATTCTTTATGTTCACTCTACTGTGCGGTGTGATAAACTAGGCAAGGCTGCTCTGCTAACCCTTTTGTTTGTTTCCTAGGTTCCTTGGTTGTGAAAATACATGAGATAAATCATGAAGGCAACTCTCATCTTCCTCCTGCTTGCTCAAGTTTCCTGGGCAAGACCATTTCAGCAGAGCAACATATTTGAATTTTATGACTCCATGCCAAATGATGAGGCTTCTGGGGCAGCCCCGGAGGATCCCCGTTTTGATACCCCCAGACTCAGTTCTGAACTTCCCGAGCTGGAGCCTCTGGGACCCGTGTGTCCCTTCCGCTGTCAATGCCATCTTCGAGTGGTCCAGTGTTCTGATTTGGGTGAGTGGGATGCAAACTCTGTTTCCCTGCCTCGTTTGTTATATTCCTGGGCACGGTTTCCTGGGATCTGAGCACTTTCAGTCTGAATCTCTGCATTTCCAAACGTGAGAGACAGTGCCACCTAATGAGAAGGAAAGGAAGCAAAGTAAGAGAGGAAGAAGTGGCTTCAAGGTTAAGAGACATTTTTTTTCTTTTTTGTTTGTTTGTTTTTTAAGTCAGGGCTCCATCACTTTGCAATCCTGAACAAGTCACTTTTAAAAAGAAATCATTTTGAGTCTCATGGTGCCCCCTTCTCCAAAATAAAATTTAAAGCAAAAACAATGTCTTATGTTCTATGATTCCAAAGTGATGGTTTATTTTAATTTGATTTTATTTTTTCATGAAATCTTAGATATTAAGAAAACCTGGGCAATCTCTCTATTCTTGGCTTAGTACAGACAATCAAATTCAAACATTACTAAACTGCAAAGTATGCAGAGTTATCACAAAAAAAAACCAAGTAAACTTTGAGAACAAAAAATTATCTTTCAAATACCAAAATACTCCCTTAATCTCTGAGTTTTAGTTCTCCCTTTATTGTTAGTATTTTGTAATCTAGCTGTTGATATTCTTCAGAGTAAATCTTTATAACTAAGGTATGGTGTACATATTCAGTATAATCACAGAGGACGTATGTTTAGCCCAACACTGTAAATACAGTTTGATTTATCATCTTTCAAGAAATATTTGGCCTGGGAATTTCAAGAGCAGTACACTCAGAAGATAAATCTCCAGTAAGTTTGAAGTCCCAGCACATGGGCCAAAAGGGAATCAACTTAGTTTACATGGCAACTGATTCACATTCCTTATTTCTTTGGGTGCATTTTCTTATTGGAAAGAAAAAAGTCCTCACTGAATGATTCTACCATGGTGCATTTCCGTGTGGAAGAAACACATAGCATAGTAGGACACTTTTTTCAGTCATCCTATGTGTATTCCAAACATACTTCCTAGCAGGATTTTTCAAAAAAAATCACCCCTAACTTCTGTCATTGGAATAAAGTACATATGGGGACCCAGGAAAACATAACATGGTAAATAATAACTGAAAAATAAAAACCACTTTTGAGATAGCTTCTTCAATACTGACATACATTGCATAGCCATTTGAAACCCAAATAAGTGTATAGCAAGGGTCTAAAAAGACTAGGATAATTCCTCTGAATTCATTCCTTCGTTCGTTCGTTTATTCATTCATTCATTCATCCATCAAATATACCGAGAGCCCACAATGGTCAGATCTTTTCTGGGCCTTGGAGAGGAAGGAATGAAAAAGATGGATATGACTCCTGTTCTTGTAAATCTGTATTCTACTGGTGGTGATTATTGCTTTTTTGACTTGTATAATTGCTACAAAGATTAGATTACTGTCAAACGCAAAATAACTTTCTGTAAGCATCTAGAGATTACATGAATTATGGGTTTCGTCAGAAAAAACAATGGGGTTGAAACTATCTGAACAAAGGAGTTACCATTTGATGGATCTACTAGTGGTGAACTTTTTCTGATGTTACTGAAATGGCTGAGTTACCAAGTAATGTGATACAGATCAAATCTCGCTTTGTCTCTGAACAAGGTTGAGAGACTTCATAATCACCCCCACTGCGTGTTATCAACAACGAAGGCTTGATGTTTTTAAGGAAGGAAGACCTGTCCAGTCATTTCACTCAAGTTTTATTTTTCCGTAAATCTACTTGGCTTGCACAATAAATGGTCCAGAAAGCTTGACTCTGCCTCAGGCACTGGAACAGGGCTCCAGCTGTCTATCACAAAAGAGTCCCAAGCCTGTTGCTCAACATTAGGAAAAGTGTAGTGTTAGAAAATAGTCATCAAGGTTGATTGACGGTGTCTCATGATAATTTTGTTGTTGTTGGTATTGTTTTTTGTTTATTTTGTGTTGTTTTGAGATGAGCATGTTTCCTACATTATCTTATTTCTAAGGGCTCAGAGTACACAGAATTCCTTTATTATACATAGTCTTACTTACTCATGAAAAGGAAGTAGCAAAAATACAATCATGATTTGTTTGGGGGAATCATATTTGACTAAGAGGACTGAGTTCAAATGAGCAATGGGCTCATCAACTTACTTTTGGTCTTTATTAATTCATAGATGCCTATTTAAATATGTTTTCAAAAACGTTGGTCAGGTATTTCTCAGAAGGAAAATACATGTTTTAATTGCTTTTATTTTTCAATTACAGTTGATAGTCAACATATTAGTTTCAGGTGTACAGCACAGTGGTAAGACATTTATATAACTTACAAAGTAAAGAAAATGCAAGAAAAAGGAAGAACTGTCCACTTGCCTTTAAGAAAAACACTCTCTCACTCCTGCTCACTTCATGATTTTGGCAAGCTCTTCAGAGCCTGGGCATCTTTATCTGCAGAAAATTGCAGTCAGTCTGAGAGCTCATTATGTGTGTGAGATTCCTGACTCACAGTAGATGCTCAAAACATTTTTTCTGTGTGACGATTATGTGGAGTAAAGGATGAAAGAAAAGTAGAAAGAAACAAGGAGGGAGAAATGGGCAAACATTCATAGTAAAGGCAATGCAGTCTATTTTATTCTTGATTTTTAAGTTATCTAATGATCTGAACATGAAGCTTGTGTTATTATAATAAAGAGGGGAAAAAAGCTGTGCACATTGGGATAAGAAATGTAAATGCTTATCTGTATCAAAGGCTAATGTTTTCTTCAGTGTTTTCCTTGGCAGAGTTTCTAATTAGCAGAGAGAAGCTTCAGTGTTAAGGGACAGAAGTGTCAACTTATTATCTAAATAATGTTTAATATAAACAAACATATTTTATTAAAATGTTCGACTGTTTTTGCCACTAAGAGTTATTTCTCAGAAAAGTTAAACGACATCAAATGTTTGAACAGTTCTCTTAAAGCAAAGAAGTAAATATTGTGAAATTAGAATTGAGAAATTGCTCCATATAACTCGAGACCTCCAGGAAGACACACAGGCTGAGCTCTCGTTCTAACCTATCAGAATAGTGTTATATGATGTTTTCCTAGACTATGGCATATTGAGAAAGCAAACATATGCCTTAACCTGTTTGAGGAAGTAATGAATTCTCAATATTAGCCAAATTGGTTTGGTTGAAAGTATTGCCATTTAGCTTGTAATTTGAACCAGACTTTTATGAGGACTATGTCTTCTTTCTTCATCTATGCTCTTAAAACATAAAACAGTTCACCCCTAATTATAGCATTTATAGAAAGTAAAATATCAAAATAAATGTAGGAATAGCAAATTCAGAAATCTGTGAGCTACTTCAAAGTAATACACTCACAATGCTACTCAATCTTGTCAGATCTTTTAAAAATGTCCCACTATTGATCCCGTGACTCAATGCTCTGTTTTACGTGCTTAGTGTCTTGAAGGAAGGTAGTTTCTCTTACTTGTGTGCTCTTTGGATCAGCCATTCATCTCTGGATCAACTGTCCAGTGCACATCATTTGGTCATGACTTTCATTTTATTGCAAAAAGGCAGATCAGACCTGACATATGAAATGAGCAACACATTGTTTTTTTGACTATTTATCCTGATTAAAGTAAAAGTTATCGATACAGTTCTTAATAAACAAGATTCAAAAGAATTGAAATGTCTTCTAAAAATTTTTAATAATGGAAAGAAGTTGGATTATGCAGTGCAACCCTCTGCTCACGTCCTGCTTTACCATTTACTACCTGTAACTTTGGAACTTTCAAAATCTGTTTTCTCATTTAATACATGGGAATATATCTTCATTAGGTAAGAATAAAACTTTTTGAAAATGTTTCCCATAATAACTGTTACATTCAGTTTACCATTTCAGACCAAGTTGGCTAATAATATGAGGCTATTTCTGATATGTTCTTGTATTTTTCTTGGAAATTGAGAATCTCTAATAAGCATATGGCTTGTCAAGTTGGATACAAAATAGCATCTTCTCTCCCCACCCTCATAAATGGGACCACATCACCTCCAATGTAAATAGATAAGAGTTAAAAAATTGTGCAATTATTAAACAAGTCCCTGTTCTCCCCACACTATTCCTTTGAACAGAATGGGTTTGGTTGGGTGAAGAACAGTAAACCATATAATCAAATATGGTTCATATCCACATAATTAGCCCTGTGGAAATAATGCCAGAAGATGGAAGGTTTTATTCTGCCAGGTAAAATCATTACAAATAAATATTGTTCCTACAATGCACCTCGTACCACAAGAGATATTTTAATCTAAAGAAATACTTAAGGAAAAATGCATAACTTGCAAAAAGTTAGTTTTCTTGTTAATAGTTTTTCTCAACTGTTGGAAATTTTGTTCTGGGTCACAACTTGGACACACTGTCAGACAACTTATCTCTTGTCTGGGGAAATTCATTCGCCAGAAGCAAGCCTTACATATGAGCTAAACGAAAGGTTAGGCGTCCATGGAATCAACCCAGAAGAAGACATTAGGGCTGTTTTGTAGAGGGGTAGAGAGAATGCTGGAAGCTCAGTTGCTTTCAGGTTTATGTCTAGCTCTGTGGCAGCAAGGATAAAGGGAACCCTCGTTAGGAGTCTAGATGCATCAAAGGGCAACTCCAAAACCTGGTATAGGAAAGAGACTGCACAGAGCATGACCTGTGGGTTCCCTAAGTTAGTACTGGATAGAGGTGGAGTACAGACATGCTCAGATGAAGCCAGGGTAATGCTCCGGAGCCATCCGAGCACACAGGGCTCCTGACTCAAAGGGTAAAGATGGGCAGGAGGAAGACAGGAGGCAGAGAGGCCAAAGGAAGCTTCTGTCTCCTTAACCTGGCTGAGAACGGACACATTCTTGGTTTCCAGCTCTGTGGGATCAGGACATTTTGTTAGACTACAGCTGTGGTGCGTTCTCCTTTGTAAGACCATCCCCGGCTCCAGAGGACAGGATGGGAATCAGTTACCCAGAATCTGGGTAAAATAGGAAATCCAGAGACCCTTT